TGGAGTCCAAAAACCCCTGGAGGAGCAAAGTTTAGGAACCAAGGGTCCGACTCCAGAGCAATAGTTCCCAAACTTTGCTCCTCCAGATGTTTTTGGACTTCAGTTCCCAGAATCCCCAATTACTGGCCAAGGTGGATGGGAATTCTGGAAGTTGGAGTCCAGAAACATCTGGAGGAGCAAAGTTTAGGAGTCCAGAGCAATAGTTCACAAACTCTGCTCCTCCAGGTGTTTTTGGACTTCAGCTTCCAGAAGCCCGAACCATTGGCCAAGACAGATGGGGCTTCTGGGAGTTGGAGTAAAAAAAAAAACTTGAAGGAGCAAAGTTTGGGTACCAGGAGGACTCAAAACAGCAATAGGTCCCAAACTTTGCTCCTCCTGGTGTATTGGACTTCAATTCCCAGAATCCCCAAACATTGGCCAAGGTGGATGGGGCTTCTGGGAGTTGGAGTTCAAACACTAAGAGGAGCAAAGTTTGGGAACCACTCCAGTGCAATTATTCCCAAACTATGTTCCTACATGTTTTTGGACTTCAGCTCCCAGAAGCCCCACCAATTGTCCAGCAATCAGGAATTCTGGGAGCTGAAGTCCAAAAACACCTGGAGGAGCAAAGTTTGGGAACCACTGTGACTCTAGCTTGTTGTTATGATGTTGTATGCCTGTTGTGTGCCAAGTTGTTTCTGACTTATGGGGACCTAAGGTGAACCTATCACAGGGTTTTCCTGGCAAGATTTGTTCAGAGGTGGTTTGCCATTGCCATCCCCTGAGGCTGAGAAAGTGTGACTTGACCAAGGTCACCCAGTGGGTTTCCATGCATGAGCCAGGATTTGAATCGTGGTCTCCAGAGTTGGAGTCCAGCAGTCAAACCACTACACCATACTGGGTCTAGCTTTTAATGGTTCACAAACTTTGGTCTTCGAGATGATTTAGATTTCAGCTCCTAGAATTCCTGATTGTTGGCTGAACTGGGTGGGGCTCCTGGGAGTTGAAGTCCAAAAATACATAGAGGACTGAAGTTTCGGAAACAGTTTGGCAGCAATCAGTGACTCACAGACTTTGGTCTTCCAGGTGTTTTGGACTTCAGCTCCATTGGCCACTCCATGCATCTGAAGAAGTAGACTCAAGTTTAAAAAAGCTGATGCTACAAGCTTCTTTCAGGGGGGCTGCATCCACACTGCAAAAATAATCTAGGTTTGACCCCACTTTTGATTGCTATGGCTCAGTGCTATGGAATTCTGGGAACTGTAGACTGTCCTTCGCCTCCTTCCTTCCTCTCCTCCTGTAGTGAGGTCAAACCAGTTTATTTCTGCAGTGTGGATGCAGTCTCAGTCTCAAAGGGGCTACAAGATTCCTTTGCAAATTTCATGAAGGCCAGAGTTTTCCCAGACTAACAGGGCCCTGTGTTTGAATTCTGCTTGAAATTCCAAGCCTTTGAGGAAGTGGCTGGCTGATCTTTTTGCTAAACTGGAATGGCTTGCCACTCCCATCTGTATGGTCTTTGCAATGTGCATTTGGCAGGAGCAAGGCCTCTTCCTCTCCCTCGTCTTTCGAAATGGGTACCGGGGCAGAACCTCAGCCTTGCATTTCACTTGGGGCTAATTTCCCTCATAGGACATGGCAGTGTTTATTGGGGTGTGTAGGAAAATCCTTCTCCTTGCAAGCCAACTTTTAAAGGCTTTCTCCCTGCAAGCTAGATTTTTTATTGGATGACCTCTCTCTGGCCAAAAAAATAACAATACAATAATACTACTAGAGCCAGTGTGGCATAGTGGTTTGAGTGTTGGGCTCTGGAGAATAGGGTTTGAAGCTCCACTTGGCTGTGGAAACGTACTGGGTGACCTTGAGCAAGTCACACTTTCTCAGCTTCATGGTGAAGCCATGGCCTCTGACCAAATCTTGCCAAGAAAACACCATGATAGTTTCACCTTGGGGTCACCCTAATTTGGAAACAACTCGAAGGTACACAACAACAAAGGCTTAGTATCTGCTGCCGTTTGGTTCCAGGACCCTCCTGTGGATTCCAAAATCCATGGATGCTCAAGTCCCATTAAAAATGCAATGGTGTAGTAGTAGTGAAATGATGTTCCTAATACAAAATAGCAAAATCTAGGTTTGCTTTTTGGAATATATGCATACATACATACAGATTCTTGTTGTTGTGTGCCTACAAGTCGTTTCTGACTTACAGGGACCCTAAGGTGAACCTATCATGGGGTTTTCCTGGCAAGATTTATTCAGAAAATTGCCATTGGCTTCCCCTTGAAGCTGAGAGAGTGAGGTCACCCAAGGTCATCTAGCGGGTTTCATGGACAAGCAGGAAATCGAACCCTGGTCTCCAGAGTTGTAGTCCAACACTCACACCACTGCACCATGCTGGCTCTCTCTCTTTCTCTCTCTCTCTCACACACATATTTGTTGTTGTGTGCCTTCAAGTCATTTCCAACTTATGGCAACCCTAAGGAGATCCCATCATGGGTTTTCTTGGCAAGATTTGTTCAGAGGAGGTTTGTCATTGCCTTCCCCTAAGGCTGAGAAAGTGTAACTTGGTCAAGGTCACTGAGTGGGTTTCATGGTCAAGCTGGGAATTGAACGCTGGTCTGCAGAGTTGTAGTCTTAACACTCAAACTGCTACATCACAGTGACTCATATATGTATGTGTATGTGTGTTTGAGCTCTCTCTCTGTGTGTATCTATATGTGTGTGTGTGTCTATATATGTATGTGTGTGTATATATATTTTGTTGTTAACTGTCCTTGAGTCGATCTTGATTCATGGCGGCCCAATGACTGAGACATCTCCAAGACCCTCTGTCCTCCACTGCTCTGCTTAATTCCTGCAACCCCTTAATATCCGTGACCTCCTTAATAGAGTCCATCCATCTAGCAGTGGCCTTCCTCTCTTCCGACTTCCTTCCATCTTTCACAGCATTATTGTCTTTTCCAAAGAGTCCTCTCTTCTCATGATGTGTCC